CCGCCCGCCGTTGTCGCGGTTACCGGCGGCGATGGCCGCCGCGCTCGACCTTGGGCCCGGCCCAAAAGCCCGCTTTTCCCCGTAGGACCCGGCCCACCACAGCCCCGGCTTTTCCTGGGCCCTATCTCTTCAGCCAGGGCTCCCGCTGTGTCCTTGTGAGGCCTCGTATCCCTCAGCCTAAGGCAGGATCCCCATCCCCGCGGAGGCCCCCGCCTTGGGCGCACCCCCGTCGACCTGCTCCCCTCAGGGCTCTCACCTCATCCTTGGTAAGAGCTGATTTTTGCTGTAGGGTCCCATCTCCCTCACTGCAGGGTTGGGTATATCCCGCTGGACACGCACTCCCGTGTAGGTTTTCCCTCGCCGAGGCTCACAGAGGTGCTGCGTCCTCCACAGCTCCTGTATCTTTGCTGGTGGTCCTCAACATCTCTTCAGGGCCTGAAAGGAGGTACCGATGTGTGAAAAAAACAGCTGTTGCCAATCCCTGTCGACGTCCCAGGGATCACCTCTTTGACTTAAGGGCAACCTCGGCCCCACACCTTCCTGCTTAACTGGGAAAAGGAACTGAATAACATCAGGAAGAAAAGAATGTCATAGTCAGGGAGTTATTCCATACAATAGGATGCTGATATTAGAGTAAGGAGTTGTGGGAAGGGTTCTCAAGGATTTATGGGTCTTTGGCACATCCTGAAGTGTGCTACAGCATTGTGGAACCAGGAATGTAAGTGTGAATTGCTTCAAACTTACTGTAATTAACTTTATATTGCAAATGTTGCGGAGGCTTTCTGGAAGTCATTCTCCAGCAGCCTTGTGAAAAAATGCAGAGCGTTTTTCAAGTAATAATGTCCCCATTCACATTTGGTAAGGCAATTTTTAGCTGCGATTACTTGTTTTGATTTCTTCAAGTTCTGACAGTTTTTTTTTTATCAAGCTAGAGAGGAGGAGGCTCTACTGCTTTATAAAACTGGAAGTTCTTTACAAAGTCAGTTAAAGACTAAAGCAACAAAGAGAAGTCAAAACTCTTTGAAGTTGGCAAAAATTTTCTGAAGTTATTATTGTTTGTGGTCTTTCATTTGTCTTAAAAGTATAACTGGTTTAGATCTAGAGCAATGATGAAAGATTTTTCCTGTATTTGGTTTAGTTCAACTCCTTCACATATCACTAAACAATCACCTATTACTTTTACTTAGTTAAAAAATCTAAATGGCTTTTTTTAGAAGACTTTTTTGGAAGGCACATGGTTAAACTAAGCCCTTGCAGGTTGAAGACGTTTCCCTGGAGAAGGCAGTTCTTGTTCTTTCTGTAAAGGGAACATCCTTTTCTCCACCCCCTGCAATTTACTCAAATCGGTTTGCATTGCTCCATAGTCGGTATCACAAATAAAACCATGCATCAAGTTACTTATAAAAATACCGACAGGATCAAGCAGTTTTTTCCCTGACTGGATAAAGAAGTGTTTTCTGAAACCACTGACCTAGTGGTACGTCCCAATGTGCCAGCTCCACTCTCCCATTTCCAAACAGCTCTGGAAAATATCAGGAGGGGAAAGATACTTGAAGCCTCCAGACAATTCTTTAATTCCCACCCCCCAAAAAAAGAAAAATTAAATTCCAGAAATCAGTGTTTAAAAACTACCCAGAAATGTGGTCTTCTCTTTGGCAAAAACAAATACCTGGTGCAGGCCCATGTGTAGTCTCACTTCACACTTACTCATTTTCAGACCGTTAGGCTCACTGGAAAGCGCCGTTTCTTCAGGGACGAAGGGAGCGGTGGTGAGCTGGTGGACTGTAAGGCGCTTCATAAAGGGTCGCGTTGCTGCGTAATGGGTCTCAATGTATTTTGACAGCCTTGCGTCAGGAACCTGGTGCATTAAACCCTTTCTAAGGAGATGGAATAGTTCAGTATAATTGTTTTGAACGTCCAGCTTCCTTCTGAGAAATCAGTCTGCTTCTTTTAAATCCCGGAGTCACTGAGCGATCGGAGGGGGCTCTGGAAAACGTTATCCATTAAGGATCTAGAGCACATTCTCTGTACCCCTTCCCCACCCCAGGGAAAAATTAAGGCAGGAGGGAATGTGTCCAAAGACAGCCTTTTCTCTCCATTGCTATAGTTACTTGGCAATTAGACCCTCTCAGTGTAATATTGAGTATTTATTACTGTATGACTCCAAGGCGATGTTTAGAACATGCGGTTTTGAAAAACCTTTTTTGCATTTTACAGCCCAGCATGTGCTGTCCCAGGGTTCCTTCCTTCCCTTCTCCCCTCACACTCTCTTCTCCTTTCTTTACAGTAAATAAATAAATGAAAAAAATAGAGGAGGCTGAAATGAAGCTAGAAAGCTTCAAAAATCCCTGCCTTTCTCTGATGGAAGTCAACTTTTAGTAGGTTCAGACCTCGTATCACCAGTTTTCTTAACTATATACCTGAGTTGTGCATTAAATTAGTAAGACTACTCGCAGACTAAGAGTTAGGCATTCACTTAAATAAACTGCTGGCTAATTTTTCAACAGATGGCCATCAAACAAGCTAGAGGCAGAACTGGGAATCTAAGATTAATAAGTACCACTCTTAT